ACACATACACACACACACATACAGAGACACACACATACAAACACACACACACACACACACACACACACACACACACACACACACACACGAGGTCTTTCCTTTGAGAGAGCCACTGACTAGCCCCTAACTTGCTGACTCTCCCGTAGGCAGCTCTAACCACCACACTGCACTGTCTTCCCTAAACTCTCAGCGACCACATTAACAAGCGAACAAGCACCATTGCTTCTTGAATGCTTGATGATGTGAAAAAAACCAGAGTTCTTTGCATTATCATCTTTCACCTGAACAGCCAAGCTCACACACCCTTCCTCAGTGGATCCAGGTGAACCCTGATGTCTGGTCTCTTGGTGAAAGATCATATTCACAAGTCCTAAACTTTAAACATTTTTTTTTAATTGAAAGTTCACATATTTTTAAAACTTTTTAATGAAAAAAAAAACCTTTAAATTCTTGTCACTTTGCTTGAAATCTCTCACTGAGGCATCTCAAGTGCAAGTCCAGAGGAGCTGACTGCAAGAGACGCCATTCTTACGTCTTCCCGTTAGCACTGAGACTTCCATATCTTGTGATGAGAGGAACCACACCCAGCAGCATTTAGAGTCTACAGGGTGAGAATTTATCAGTCTTCAGGTCTGAGTCTTTCTACCAGGCTGTAAGTCATGCCCAGACACCTGCCCAGAAGGCGTAGAGGAAAAGTCAAGTCCCAGCCAGCCTGACTCACAGTGATGTGGTGTTATAGATGTCCTTTCGGTAATCTCACCCATAGTATTTGGAAACTGACTCACACAACTAGTCCCCAAAGCAGAGGGACACTTTGTCACCGTTTTACCCACTGAGGTAAAATTGCCTGGTTCCTTTATTTCTTTTGAACAACATATATTTAAGAAGAATGAAAGCAGAGACCAAACTGAGGATTGTACATTTTCTTCGATTTTAGATGGACTGCAGAAAGCAAAAAAACCAAAAACAAAATAAAACCAGTACGCACCCAACAAATCTCGTTACTACAAAACGATCAGCACAAAGGACCTGGACAAAGGAGTCCTTCTTGCTAGGTTTCAGATTATGAAATAGCAAGCAGGGATGCCTCAGACCCAAGGCTGTCCGTCCCTGTTAGAAGGCAGTAAGACACTGCCCAGGGAACACAGAGTCTTCCCAAATTACATACTCTTGCTGGGAGAGGCATCACATGTTTTTAAATAATTTATTTATTTATATCTTGGGTGTACTGTTGTTTTGCCTGCATGTATGCTTGTGTGAGGGTATCAGATCTTGGAGTTACAGGCAGCTGTGAGCAGCCATGTGAGCACTGGGAATTGAACCTGGCTCCTCTGGAGGAGCAGCAGTCAGTGCTCTTAACTGCTGAGGCATCTCTCCAACCCTGAGGCATCACATATTTTAAGCCAACAGCTGTGCTATGGAAGACGAGGTCAGGGGAGGGGCTGACACATCGAGGTCTAAAAAAGCCATTTTCATGGTTCAAGTGGTTTGAGTTTGAGAAAACAGGAAGCAGTATGAAAGTGTTTGTGTGTGTGTGTGTGTGTGTGTGTGTGTGTGTGTGTGTGTACACACATGTATGTATACATTTGTACACATGTACACAAATATACAAGCACACTATATACAATATCAGATATACACGTATATGCACATTTATGAAATATCTGTATTTCAATTCTAGAAAAATAGAGACAAATATTGTTATGCCTTTTAAAGATTAGCTATTATATGTAATTAATAAATTATAAAAATAGCTTTGGCTTATGTATTGATTTTTCCATGAATGCTATTATGCCATTTCCCAAACAGCTAGCAACCTTTCAGGGACCCCTGTGATCCAGTGGCCATGTAGCTATTGCTCCAGTCACCTAGTGGGGTACCCCTTTGCTATTCATTATTCCACTGTTATTTCTCGAGGCAAAAATGAAAGGAGAGCTCTCCTCTTTCCTTAAAATGCCAGTGACTCCTTTATAGTCACTAGCAATCAGTGACTACTAAGCTGTTTGTATGATCCATTTTTATCTAAATTGTTAGGTAGTTCGCTTTGCTAGTCAGCTTACTGACAGTGAGTACCACTGAACTCTTCCATGGCAACAGTCATACACCTAGAGACAGATGCGTACTTTGTTCCTGACCCAGCAGGAAATGTCTGAGAAGTCTTAACTGGGTAATTGATAACTTAACTGGTCCACTTACAACTCTCTTGTGCCTCTGGGGGAGAAAAGGAGATTATGCTGTTTATTCTTGATTATACTTGTTAATGTAGGAAGAGAAAGCTTCAATGGGGTAAGTTCTCAGTCATGCATCCCACTGTTATATGTTTTTCTTAGCTCTTGTATGTTTAATGTAAAATTTATTTTGCATCTTTAAAGCCAACAGTGTTGATGTAGAATATTACCCAGAAATATAGGAAGACCTTATTGGGGGCCTTTCAGCTAGCCAAAAAAGCATTGTTTACTGAAGCCATTTGTGTTCCTACCCTACTAGAGATAAACATTTGCTGTCATGCCAGCGAGTCCCGTCAGTTGATTAGTTTTCGCTACATAGCTACCCCTTTCTTTTCTGTTACCATGGCAACGCCCTATGAGTCAGCTGGGGTAACTGTGGCTTGAGGTGTTAGGTCTCACACTAGCCTTCAGAGGTGTTTCCTTCCACATTACTTTGACAGCTTGCTCCTGCTTGTCAGAGAAGCCAAATGAGAAAGAAGGTTGCGGGTGGGGGTGTGTGGGGAGGGGATTTCTCACAGATTGTGTCTTCCTTCTGAGCAAAACCCATCATCTAACGTTTCCCTCTGGCACAGCGACACCTACTGGGAAGTATGTGCGAACACGGCCCATTACTGCGCTAGGATCCTGCCACAGTCACCACCCCGGTCCATAAGTCGAAGACTTTCAAGCAGCTTGGAGAAACACACAAGTCAGGCGACAAGAAGATAAACTGGCACTGGCTGTCTAGGGACTGACAGCATCACCAATAGACACCCCCCGCCCCCAGAGGGTCCTCCTCCAACATCTTTAAGGTATCAACCTAAGTTTGCAAAAAAAATCATTCCAATATGCGAAATATTCCAATATGTGACATACCCGTATACTTAAAAAGAGATCACATTTATTTCTGTTTTCGATTTTTTTTCTAATTCCAAGTGAAAATAATAAGACCGACCATCAAGACTTTGGGTGGCTGGTACCTGGGTGCTTTAGCTGGTTAAGTCCAAGTGGAATGCTGGAGACAGTGCTATGGCACCTAGACTGTACAGCCATTGCCACACGGCAGCTGCTGAGTAGCTCACATTTTAAGCTCACTTCTCTGTCATTTCTGGTCCCTACATAGCATGGGCTGGCCTGCAACTCAAATCCCGCTAGCCTTGGTCTCTCCAGGTCTAGAGTTATGGGCGTATACCACCATACCCAGCTAGGAAAATACCTTAGGCACTAGTTTTTGAGATCAGGGTTAGCTTAAGGATGCCTTTCGCAGCTATAGACAAAGTCTAGTATGTTATCATTTTCTTAAGCCTGACACAAAATTTAGTATTGTCTATGGTTGGTTTTCAACACAGTGCCTTGATAGTATATATGAACAGTACTTTAATAGGGGAGGATTTTTTTTTGTTTTGGTTTGGTTTCTGTTGTTTTTGTTTTTAATAAAAGGTAAGATATAGCAATGAACGCTGTAGCATTGCGAGGCCAGTCACAACAGTAATAAATCAAGTTGATAGGGTATGCCCTCAATGTGACATGATACATAAATGCCCCAATATAATCAACAGCAACCAGTTCCCCATCATGGACTATTCTAAAACATTTCAACACCTTCTTCCCTTTTCAGCTAAACAGCCCTTTCCCCATAAATGTATCCTCTACTTCTGAAGACATAGTTGGGCTTAGAAGGAGGGCTTCATTGCAACCTGACTCAAGCAGCATCTTTGTTCTCTAAATAAAAAGTCATTGTCTTTCTTCAGCCAACATGGTTATTTGGTCTTGGCTCACAGAGTTCCTTTGATTTTTTAATAAAAAGTCCCTGGACTCAGGCCATGCCAAGCACCATTGCCTTATTCTCCCAGTACATAGACTTTAATTCTCACCTATGAATTTCACATTGTTAGAGAGACATATATGTTGATGTAATCGCATGTCATTCAATTTGTACACTTTGAAATTTTTTTCATCTGTGCCTTTGTCTGTCTACAGTGAACTCATTTGAGACAGGTTTGGCTTGTCTAATAGGACAGGCTCGACTTCCATAACTTCAGTTCATCATGAAGGGACAGACACAGGCAAATCTCAACACAAGAGAATTCTACAAAACTACTCAACCCTCAGGGTATTGGGTATATGAAAGTATGTCTACAAAGGCACAGTGCTAAGTCCTATCATATCACCATAACATATGTGTAGCTATTCGCATCGTTCAACATTGTGATGTGCTCGCCGATCATACCTACTCATGATAGAATATGTCAGGATCCCCTACTGTCAAGCTTATCATCCCTGCTCCTCACCTCTTCTGATTCTTTATACATGGAAGGAAGTCTCTCTGTACAGTCCACTCCTAAGGCTGAGTTGTACTCTTCACAGCACCCACTGGAATAGCTACATACATCATGGCTCACCATCTAAAACTGCACAACTGTAGAAATTATCCACCAAGATTCCACTCATAATGATAGAGTTACTGAATTTTAAATTCTACTTTCATAGTCCTTACTATATTGGTTTGTGCTAAAAGAAGTACTATTAAGTGGCAATAGTCATGGTAGCCCAAGATTACATAGATCATTTTGAAAACGTTGTTGGACTCTGGGCTGTAATTTATCGTATATAGACTCATACATAGATGGTGTCTACACATTCTATGCATGAGCCCTTTAAGATTAGACCTGACATGAGCCCTTTAAGATTAGACCTGGCCACATGAAGACTTCATGAGAGAAAACGTCCTGCTTCAAGTCACATTTCAAATTAAATAATTAACACAACACTACTGAAATATACAACTGCTTTATTTCACATTTCTGTACTCTTTTTATTTAACAAAAACTAACAAAACAAATCAGTTGCATATACTACTATAAGCTAATATTGGGCTTTGATCATAATTTATAACAAAATAATTGACCTTGAACGAATAGGTAGAATGTAGAACCTTTGAGATGTTTTGTGGTGCCTGTATTACTTGTTGGTCCATTAATAAGCATTTGCAGAGTGCCTACTATGTGTCAGACATCAAAGAAGAAGAGAACACAATATTATTTTATCTGTTCAGGCACGGAGCAGAAAGCAAGTGAGATAAGGCATTATACTCTAGCTCTGTGACTAGAATATTCATAAGAAATAAAACATACTGAGGGAAAAACTGGGCCCTCAATCTCAGGCTCACTAATTCTCTGTACAAATGACAACTTCAGGAAAGAAATATTAACTATACTTTGTAAAAGGAGTCCTTCAGCCGTGATTCTTTAATACAGCTCTTTATGTGTGGTGATCCCTCCAACCATAAAATTATTTCATTGCTATTTCTTAACTGTCATTTTGCCATTGTTATGAATCATAATGTGAATATCTGCATTTTCTGATGGTCTTAGGTGACCCCTGTGAAAGGGTCGTTTGACCCTGGAGGGGTCATGACCCCCCACGTTGAAAACCACTGCTTTAAGGTCAAAGAAGACACTTAAAAGACCAATCCTCGTTGCCTCGTGTGTTAACACCAAAGCAGAACATTCACATTAATCACAAACCACAACATGCTGGTGGTGGGCCAACGCTCTCATTTTCCTATGAATGGCGGCAGGGCAGGCAGACACTATTATCAACAGGATCTAGATAATAAAGGTATCAAAGTACTAGAGATTAATTAAGCCCCACCACTATTAATGAGCATCCTCCCCTGTTCTTGGCATAGCTCAGGGAACATAATATTTCAGCTTCTGATGAGGAAAAGCTGATGTTCAAGTCGTGCAAACGATTATTTTAGAAGAAACACATTCTTTTCATTTGGAGCTTCTCTAGCTTTGCAACTTCATTGAATTCTAAGTGAAGAGCCTGCAGACATTTTTTATGCCATTTTTAAAAAGTCTCGTCTCACATCTTCAGACATTTTGTGTCAGTATAACCAGTGTCTAGACACCCAAAGTAAGTACTGTAAACCCAGCAACAACCAAAATGGCCCTTCCTTCTGCTCTAGATGATGTGTGACAAGGTCACAAACATGCAAGTGTACAAATATTTCCATCATGCACTCAACAGGAGACTGTTATTTGCAGACAAAAATATTGATGTTGCTAAGTGATACCGAACAAATCACAAGCTGTCTTTTTTATTTTTTCCCCATCTATTTCTCGCTCATAAACAATTTTAACACTGTTCCAGGTCTGCTCATATTTTGCCTCAACTAAAATATCAAATTTACTACACATTCATAATATCAAAAGACTAATCTGCTAATATTTTAAGACCCTTCCTGAAATCTAAACAGAGGGTGAGTGAAGTCTTAAGTAAGCAATATCATGGAGTAAATGAACAAAATAAAATGAATATTAGCTATCTTTTTTTTTTGCATAACAACTCTGAGTTTGTCTCAGCAAAGGAGAAATAAAGTTAAGCAAATAAAATCCAAAAGATCTCAAAGTGAACTTAGTAAGCTGCCACACGCAGACACTTCTCATTCAAGTGCCATGTGGAGTAAAAGCAACTAATTTTAGGTTCTGTCTCCTTCTAAAATTTGAAATTGAGGTGTGTAGTAGTTTGAGTGAAGTGTAACTGGTCCCCCATAAGCTCATAGGGAGTGGCACTATTAGGAGGTGTGGCTTTGTTGGAGTGGGTGTGGCCTTGTTGGAGGAAGTGTGTCACTGCAGGGGCAGGCTTTGAGCTTTCCTATGCTCAAGCTACCTCCCAGGGTCTCACTCTACCTTCCTGTGGCCTTCTGATCAAGATGTAGCCAGCACCATGTCTGCCCGCATGCTGCCATACTCCCCGCCGTGATGATAATGGACTAAACCTCTAAAAATGTCAGCCGCCACCTCAATTAAATGTTTTCCTTTATAGAGTTGCCATGGTCATGGTGTCTCTTCACAGCATCAGAAACCCTAACTAAGACAGGGTAAATGGGTAAGAGGAGGAAAGAACTCAAAGGACCTGCAGGTGCCACCTAGGCAGCTGTCAATCATGACGAGATGGTGGGAGAGACACGAGCACCTGGCCTCCAAAGACAGAAACCAAACTACAAAGACCTACAGAGAAGATAGAGGGAAACGGAGATGAACTGTAGAATCAAGGCTCCTCAGGAGCTACAGAAATTTTCTTAAAAGATTTTTTTCACAGATGCATAAATCCAAGTCAAAAGATGATGCTCAGTTCTTCCCAATCCATCCAAGACTAGAAGGAATAAGACATAAACAGGTTCAAGAAGGGAAAAAGTGACATGTCCTCCAACACCTCTGGATCCCTAGTTTATCGGTAGCTGTAGGAAGTATTATAGAAAAGGACCTGGGAGTCACCTCTGCTGGCCAGTAGGCACTGTGGACCTGCCCATCACTTTAGCAATCTGTCTCATTCATTACCCCACCAACTTTACAAGTCCAGAAGCCTCATAGTCAGGGGCTTCTTAGTCTGTCTGAAGAGTATCATCGTTGAAAGAAGGTTCACCCCATTTCCCCATTTGTCTCCTTTGGCAGAAAACTCCTATATGTCCCATGCTTGTCCCCCATGTCCCATCATCAAGGATACTGTGATGCTTCCTCCTGTTTACTCATCCAGCATTATTCATTTTCTGAAATTCTACATAATTATGCCTATTTGTAAAACCAGACTACCTTCCAGTTCCCAGCTCTGTCATACATATTCCATGACAACTAGGGATTGGGCCACCTTCTAGCATTCACCCTTCTTCACCCATAAACAGTTCCTGTCCAGGAGCATATAAAAATGAACTATGCACAGTGTAGACATAAAGATCTTTGGAGTAGGAAATACATCATCTTAAACCATGGGCCTTTGTTAGAGACACACAAAATATTTATAGTGATGTACATGGGAGATAAGAATTGTCAAGTGGAGAGAGGGCCCTGCACCTTACCTGGGCAAAACAGCAGAGCTGGCTGTAGTTGGTGTTTTCTCCAGTCCTGCTCAGGCCTGCAGCCGCTCAGACCCAAGTAAACACACAGAGACTTTATTACTTATAAACTGCATGGCCATGGCAGACTTCTTGCTATCCAGTTCTTATATCTTAAATTAACCCATTTCTATTAATCTCTAAGTTGCCACGTGGCTTGTGGCTTACCAGAACTTTACATCTTACTTCTCATGGTGGCAGCAGCTGGCAGTGTCTCCTGACTCAGCCTTTCACTTCCCAGAATTCTTCTCTCTGCTTATCCTGCCTATACTATACTTCCTGCCTGGCTACTGGCCAATCAGCATTTTATTTATGAACCAAATCAGAGCAACACATTCACGGTATACAGAGAGACATCCCCAGCAGCTGGCTCTGGTGGTGTGAGTATAAGTGGCCCAGATCTGAGGACCTGAGAACAGGAGAACTGGCCCCACTCCATGCTGCAGGCTGCATTTTGTGACCTGGCCAAGGCAGTGCTAGAGAGCTCACCCAGGTAGTGATGACAAGGGAAAGCTGGTGGGCTGACCAATCCAGCTACCCCACCCAGGCCCAGAACCAGGGCTATGACTTTGTGTCCCCCAACGTCCACCTCATCAATGAACTGTTGGAACATGTGAAGGGGACAAACCTACAGATCCAAAACTGCAGGGTCTCCTTGACACAGGACAACAACAGGATATCCAAGAGGAGCCCAGTGAGAGCCCAATATTGGTGGTGGTGGCAGAAGTGAGAGGCCCTGAGCTCAGTCAATGACTCTTGACAATGAAAACTTGCAGGTAAAGATGAATGGACTAAAGGGTAAAACTGTGTGACTCAACAATCCACACTACATCTGCCACAACAAGATTCTT